CCAGCCGTGCAGGGAAATGGCGTACTCTGCTGAGGTCACGGACAGGTGCGTGCAGGCCATCACCCAGGAGCCCCAGGTCACCGACAGGAAGCCCGAGCCCCAACGCGCAGCCACACACGCTCTGCGGGAAATGCTAGTGACGCCCTTCCCGCTGGCTACATTGGTGCAGCAACGCCTTCAGAGATATGTTTGTGAATGGGAGCCGTTTCTTGATCGTGTGGCTTGGACGGAAATTAGTGGACTTCTCTCGCTGGTTCCCATGAGCTGGGCCATGCCTGTCATCAAAACTTACTGCTCTGGTTGGCTCACTTCTTCGCGCATACAGTACGTTGGAGGTCCCCGCTCGTGTATCTTTGGCTGCCGTTCGTATGCCGATAGACAGTGCCACTACATGCGATGCCGCCCGTTGTGGACTGCAGTGTACCAAGCACTGAGGTATGAGATGCTTCCGCTCCTTCCTGATCGCTTGGGGCTGCGGCTTCCTGGTCTCATGCATGTGGAAACCTTGGCGGTGGCTTTTAACATTTACCATGATATGCGTTTTCGCCTATACGTTTCTTCTACTGACCTACGCTCAAGTGCACGTGCTGCAGTTCGAAACCTTCGATTGGCCAAGCCCGACGCTCAACTGGAAAAGAAGTGGCAACCCCCTGCTGCGCTGATCCTTCACCGCCTGCCGCAACCCACTACTACCTCCTCGACCTCCTCCAGCGATGATGAAGTTGATGGACTGCATCCCGACCAGCCTGGAGATCCCGATGATGACCCTGGCGAGGCCGGACATCGCATGGGCATGGAAATTGGTCCATCGCCATGTCTTACCCCTCGGCTCGCGACGACTCCGATTTGCTCGGCTACTCCGTGGCTGACCTGTGCGCCAGCATCCTCGTCTGGGCCTGCTCCGTGCACGGCGGGGACCCTGAGTGCGACTCCATCGACTCCAGTGGCCTTGGGTTCTTCCCGAATGGCGACTCCCCCCCCACGTTCCGCCCCCTCGTGGCCGATTTCGTCGGCGCTGGGTTCCCAGAGGGCATCTTCCGCTCCGACGGCCACGTCGACGTCAGGCTCCTCTCCCCGTGAGTGCCCTGTTGGAAAAGACCCTGTCACTGTCGACCTTCCTGCCCCCGTCCTTCGCTCCGCTGAGCTGTGCCTGTGCCGCTGCTTGCTCCTCCCCTGCTTCTCCTCGCTCGGCTCCGCATCGCCACCATCCCTCATCGCCTGTGCCTGCGCATATGCGCCCGTCACCACTTCAGCTTTTCTCTACCTGTCCTCCTTCGCTCCCGTTGCCCCGCTCCTCGCCTGTTTCCGATGATGTCTCGCCCCCCCCCCCTCCTTTTGGCAAAACAAGCGGCTTTCCGCCCCGTGGACAACAAGTTCATGACAGGCGGGCCCGCGGCGCCCGCCCCGCCGCCTCCGCTCTCGCCCGTCGCCTCCGCTTTCGAAAGCGTTGAGAAGAGCCATCGACCATTGGGTCGATAGGCTGGTGGTTCGTGGAGGATGAACCCCCCTGTGCGCTCGTCTCCTCCTCCTCCTCCTCCTCCTCTTCCTCCTCCTCCCCCTCCTCCTCCATCCCGTTTCCTTATGGACAACTCCCCCTTTTGGCGCACCCCGAGGCCGGTCGAAAGGGCGGGTCGGGCGTTCCGCCGGAGCGTTCCTGACAATCTATGATCCTGAAGCTTGAAGTTTCCAAGGGCTGCACGGAGGGAGGGCGACCCGTTTTCAAAAGGCGGTTCTCGCCGTAGCGCCACCCCTTTCGCTGCGAAACATGTCAGAATGTCACGGATGGAGGGCGGTCCGCTGTTCAAGCGTGGCTCCCGCGCCATCGCCGCGCACATTCGTCCTACAGCCGGGGCGCTGGAGAAGGAGCCCTTTGCGTTGGGGAGGGGCTCGGTGTTCCTTCATTGTTCCGCTCCTTGCCTAAGGTTTTCCTGAAGTTTTCGTCGACGGGAAGTCGAAGTTTAACTCGTGGAAGCAAGTCAAGCAGTGGCGAAGCGTCCTGGCTCGCCTTTAGCCCTACCGAGCAATGTTCTGAGAATCTTTTGTGGCTCCCACGAAATATTATTTGAACATTTCTGGCGGAGTCTGTCTTGTTCCCCACATGTTTCGTGGGGTTATGGTTTTCTTCCCTGCCGCGCCGCGCCCGCGTCTCACCTCGCCTCACACCTCCCCTCCTCTCTCTTTCTTCCTCCCCTCACTCACACACACACACACGCACTTCACTCTTCCCCCCTCGTCACAGCACTGCTCAGCTCAGCTCAACTCACCTCAGCACAGCACAGCTCAGCTTAGATCAGCACAGCACAGCTCGGCTCAGCTCAGCACAGCTCAGCACAGCCCAGCACGGCTCAGCTCAGCACAGCACAGCACAGCTCGTGGCACTTTCTCGACACCACAGGGGGTGCGCAGGGGTTGGTCTCTCAGCTCGGCCGCTATCCACGACACTGGCGCAAAGCCTAGCAGGCGTGGCACTCTCTCGACACCACAGGGGGTGCGCAGGGGGTGGTCTCTCAGCTCGGCCGCTATCCACGACACTGGCGCAAAGCCTAGCAGGCGTGGCACTCTCTCGACACCAAAGGGGGTGGGCAGGGGGTGGTCTCTCAGCTCGGCCGCTATCCACGACACTGGCGCAAAGCCTAGCAGGCGTGGCACTTTCTCGACACCACAGGGGGTGCGCAGGGGGTGGTCTCTCAGCTCGGCCGCTATCCACGACACTGGCGCAAAGCCTAGCAGGCGTGGCACTTTCTCGACACCACAGGGGGTGCGCAGGGGGTGGTCTCTCAGCTCGGCCGCTATCCACGACACTGGCGCAAAGCCTAGCAGGCGTGGCACTTTCTCGACACCACACGGGGTGCGCAGGGGGTGGTCTCTCAGCTCGGCCGCTATCCACGACACTGGCGCAAACCTAGCAAGCGTGGCACTTTCTCGACACCACAAGGGGGTGCGCAGGGGGTGGTCTTCAGCTCGGTCGCTACCCACGGCACTGCGCAAAGCCTAGCAGGCGTGGCACTTTCTCGACACCACAGGGGGTGCGCAGGGGGTGGTCTCTCAGCTCGGCCGCTATCCACGACACTGTCGCAAAGCCTAGCAGGCGTGGCACTTTCTCGACACCACAGGGGGTGCGCAGGGGGTGGTCTCTCAGCTCGGCCGCTATCCACGACACTGGCGCAAAGCCTAGCAGGCGTGGCACTTTCTCGACACCAAAGGGGGTGGGCAGGGGGTGGTCTCTCAGCTCGGCCGCTATCCACGACACTGGCGCAAAGCCTAGCAGGCGTGGCACTTTCTCGACACCACAGGGGGTGCGCAGGGGGTGGTCTCTCAGCTCGGCCGCTATCCACGACACTGGCGCAAAGGCTAGCAAGCGTGGCACTTTCTCGACACCACAGGGGGTGCGCAGGGGGTGGTCTCTCAGCTCGGCCGCTATCCACGACACTGGCGCAAAGCCTAGCAGGCGTGGCACTTTCTCGACACCACACGGGGTGCGCAGGGGGTGGTCTCTCAGTTCGGCCGCTATCCACGACACTGGCGCAAAGCCTAGCAGGCGTGGCACTTTCTCGACACCAAAGGGGGTGGGCAGGGGGTGGTCTCTCAGCTCGGCCGCTATCCACGACACTGTCGCACAGCCTAGCAGGCGTGGCACTTTCTCGACACCAAAGGGGGTGCGCAGGGGGTGGTCTCTCAGCTCGGCCGCTATCCACGACACTGTCGCAAAGCCTAGCAGGCGTGGCACTTTCGCGACACCACAGGGGGTGCGCAGGGGGTGGTCTCTCAGCTCGGCCGCTATCCACGACACTGGCGCAAAGGCTAGCAGGCGTGGCACTTTCTCGACACCAAAGGGGGTGGGCAGGGGGTGGTCTCTCAGCTCGGCCGCTTTCCACGACACTGGCGCAAAGGCTAGCAGGCGTGGCACTCTCTCGACACTCAAGGGGGTGGGCAGGGGTTGGTCTCTCAGCTCGGCCGCTATCCACGACATGTGACATAAAAGAAGTATGTGGGGTTCCTCGGTAGCGTAATTTTATCGCATCGGGTTTATGTTCTAAGAACATTGTTTTTGTTATTAGAACATGTTGGGGTTCCAAGAACACTTCGTGGTAGGACTGTAGGAACGCCGGGACGGTCCGCCCCTGCTCAAGAAGGGGGCCTCGTTCCTTGTTCAGGGTTCCTTAGGTCAGCTCCTCGACCGTAAAAGTTTGCAAGGGGGCTGCACGCGTGGAGGGCGGCCCCGTTTTCACAGCCGTGGTCTTCGCCTCGGCGCCCTGGCGCGTTCGCCCTGCACTTTTGCAGCGGGCTTCACCGCCGGAGGGCGGCACGCTTTGTGTTCAGGACGCGGGGCTTCGCCCGACTGTCAAAAGACGCTGAGATAAGGAGCAGTTTGGGTTCGGAAAGGGGCTCGATGTTCCTTGGGCTCCCCCAGTGCTGTTCCTCGTGCCCTCCTGGGGCACGGAGGCGCTTACAGGGCCAAGAAGAGGCTCCGTTCCTCATTCAGAGTTCCTTCTTCCAGCGGCCCGACTGTAGCGCCGCGCACGTGTGTTTCAAAGTGCGCAGCGTTTCCGCGGATTGAGGGCGGTTCCAGTGAAAATGTGCGCCGCGCACGTCCGTCTCAAGAGTTTTCAAAAGCTGTGTTTCGGCACGATGTCGGAGCGTCATGGCGCAACCGTCACGTTGATTTGCCGTGTTGAAGTCCCAGGAATGGCGTTCTGGCTCGATTCAGGACTGTCAAGGCGCAGCAGTACTGGTGATTCTAAACGGTTGCCTTCCAACGGGGCATTTCCTTAGTGAAATGGAATCCGTGTAGGAGCCTATGAACAGGGAACCTGGAGGGAGGGTTTATTGCAATGTCGTTGACGGGTCTTGGGTTTACGCTGGTCCCCCTCCTCCTCCTTGTCCTTCTCCTCCTCCTTCTCCCTCCTCCATCCTCCATCCTCCCTTCTCCCTCCTCCTCCCGCCCTCCTCCCTCCTGTCCCCCTCCAGAGGGGGGGGGGGGACAGGGGGGGGGCCGCCAGGGCCGTCGTCCTGGCGGCCGTGGCCCAGAACGGGCGCGCCCTGAGATTCGCCGGGGGCGGCCTGCAGGGGGACCGCGACGTCGCGATGGTGGCCATCGCGAGCGACGCCATGGCCGGCAGGGCTCGTGCGCTTCTGCGGAGGCTCAATAAGCGTAAGGCGGGCCTGTCCCTCTGCAGGAGGAGTACTCGGAACTAGTGACAAAATAGGCTGGGGACGAAGGTTTGGCCATCTCTGGCTATCGTTGAAGATGTTTGGGCTATTTCTGTTCGTCCAAAAAGCCGCCTGTAGGAGGACGCGCCCGACCTGAAATTGAGCAGCGGCGCTGGCACATCCGTGGTAGAAGCCAGGCCCAATCCGGCATAGTCCCGGTTGGCCTCGCTTAGTCCAGCTTCATCCCGGTTCAGTCTGGCCTACTCGGGCTTAGTGGCCTAATCCGTGGTTGAGGCTAGGGTCTTCCACAGCGCCGCGGGCTCGTCGATCGTCGTGAAATCTCCCCATGTTTTTGCTGTTGCCTTCCGCCTTTGGACGCCACAGGGTTGGGAGCGGAGAGTCGAAGAAGAAGAAGAAAACGCATAACAAAAACTCTCTTCCGTACAACGACGACGGACGACGACGACGACGACGACGACGACGGACGACGACGACGACGACGACGACGACGACGACGACGACGACGACGACGACGACGGAGACGTCTTCCTGCCTACCTCCCTCCTCCGCAGCGAGGCCGCCGAGAGCGGGCCAGGGTGGGGTTCTCCGTAGAGGCTCCTTGACCTTCGCTTTGTAATATATCCGTATCCCGCCTGCTGCCTGCCGCCACTAGACGCCACGGGGCCTGAGGAGCTCGGAGCTCGAAAACCGCCCATCGTCAGCCGGCAAAGGTGAAATGCGGAGGACCCCAATCACTCGTGAACGCGGAGAAGGAGAGGGGGAGAAAGAGGGAGAGAGAGGCAAGCACAACAAGATCCGGGCGAAGGCCCCAGCCACATGCAGCTGTGGGTGCCGCAGGGGTGCGAGGCACCGCCGTCGGTGGAGCTCCCGACGGAGCCGCGGGGTGCGTGGAGAGAGCGCCGAAGACGGGGTGGGGCCGCAGGGCCCCCCCCGTCGGGACGGCCTGTCTCTTCCTCCTCCTCCTCCTCCTCCTCCTCCTCCTCCTCCTCCTCCTCCTACTCCTGACGGCAGGATAGGGCTTTCGCACTCCAAGCAGTTCGAGGCCGCGCCCGCTGTTGTTCCTTTCGTCATCATGGAGTGCACTCTCTGCTGCGCTAACGGGTGTGGGGCTCCTCCTCCTACTCCTGATCCCACCCATTCTCGCGCCGGCCTGCTGGACATTGCGGCTCACATGAAAGCGTTCCTCGGCGGGGCGGTTCCTGCTGGCTACGGCGACCTCCTCAGTGCAGGAGAGCGCCTTCTTTCTGATGTTTCGGCCTTGCACTCGGATGTCAAAGATCGGCTAGCCAAGGTGGAGGCCGACGCTCGACCGCGTTCCCGCAAGGAGTGGCGAGATTGCCATGCGCATGTACTCCCAGGCCCGGGTCCTCACCCTCGGAGGTTTCATTGATGGGCCTTCTCGGGCCCTTCGGGGTGTGGTCGCGGGATGTTCTATTGCGACCACGTTCATTGAAGGGGCCCAAGATGTTGTGTGGCGCCAGGCCGTGGCTGCCGAGAGCAGCGCGGCTTCTGGTGGCGAGGCTGCCACTCTTCTCACGGACCTTTACAAGTATTACGAGTTGCTTGATTTGCAAACCTTGGCGAAAAGATGCTTTGGAATCTCCCAGGCTGCCACCGCAGATCCAGCTCAAGTTGTATATTGATGATTCTGGGCTGTCGGCCGTCGGCACGTTCCGTTCTATTCTTGGCCACCTCCCTGCCGCTGCAGCGGCTTTGCATCAGGCCTTCGTGGAAGGCGTCGGCGCTAGGATCAGCCTCGGCAAACTGGCGCTGGTTTGCTCCTCTAGGTCTCTCGGCAAAGGTTTGGCTAGGGCTCTTGGGGGTTTGGCGGGGCCTGTGGTTGATTCCTCCTGGGCTGGCAATTTGGGGGTGGACGATTGCGCTGGTCGCCCCCGCCGTGTGAAAAGCGGATGCAGAGAGCGTCTGCTCGCACTTCCGGGCTTGGGCGTTTGAGGCCCACCATCGGTGGGCAGCGGTGCAAACGCGTTTTTACTGCCGGCCCCCTCCCAGGCGCCACGTATGGTTGCGACATCCACGGGGTTTCAGATTATGAGTTATAGCAGTTGCGGCGCATGGCCGGCAAAGCCCTTCGCCCCAGCGCTAAGGGCAGGAGCTTGACGGCGCTCCTGCTTTGCCATAGTGACCCCACCTGGACTGCGGCGGTCGCCCCGATCGCCCGTTGGGCCAAGGAGGTCTGGATCACCCACCATCGGCTTGACCCGTTCTCTACTTCGTTCGCCAAGCTGCGATCGGCGTGGCATTCGGTGTTCTCTCGGGATTCGGGGCTGTGGAGGTCGGTGTCGGGCCCGATCAGCGCGATGAGGAAGTCTATTGAGCGTATTTCTTGGACCATGCCTTCTTTCACGGTGCTCCGTGATGACCGAGGTATCGATATTCACCTCAATCATGTTTCGCCTGCCATGGTGCGGGCATTGCTTCGCAGAGCCGCCATCAAGACTTTGGAGTGGGAACTCGGAGCTAGGTTGAATATTGGCCGGGCTTGCGGGGAGGGGATCCTTTCTTGGCTGCGCAGCGCGAAGATGACCGCCTTCGAGAAAGGGTGTATTAGGTCCCTGTTTTGCCATGCCGTTTATACCCGGTCTAGGGCCAAAGGGCTCGGGTATGATGTTAGTGATGTGTGCGAGCTCTGTCATGATGCAGTCGGCACACTTAGGCACCGCTTGTGGTGTTGCCCGGCCTGCCAGGCAGAGCGCGACGAACTTGTGCCAGCTAAGGTGCAGCAGTGGGCGGGGGAAGCGGATGATGTTCTTGCTACGTTCGGAGTCTTTCCCCATCCTGGCGAGTGGCATCCTCAGCCATTGTTCGAAGATGGCGTCGTCACGGAGCTTTGCCCGGGTTTCGAGGATTTGGATTTTGAGCGTGACTTCCACGGTGAGCTCTTCGTCGACGGCTCTTGCTTCAAACATCTCGTGCCTGAGCTGTCTCGAGCAGGCTGGGCCGTGACGTTGCTTGACAGGCAGACCCTCCAGGAGGTTATCCGTATCAGGGGTCCCGTCTGGCCTCCTTATCCCCAAACTCCCCAGAGTGCTGAATTTCATGCCTTTGCTGCTGCTGCTCGACGTTTAAGTTCCAAGTCCACTATTTTACGGATTGCTTAAATGTGTACGATTACGTTTCGCTTGCATGGGTCAATCAGACATCACATAAGAGGATGTATTTTGGTTGTGCCCAGTTCGTCCGGCAAAACCTTCCGTTCGCTGATGTGTGGAAGGTGAAGGCGCATTTGGACGTCTCAGAGGCAACTTGCGAAGATGATAAGTTCATGCGCATCGGTAACAATCTTGTGGATGCGTCGGCGAAGGTTGCGGCACGGTCCCATCCTCAATCCCGACGATCAGAAAATGACAACCCTCGACCAGAACATTGCTGTTGCGAGAGCTGTAGGAGTGCTGGCGGCGAAGCTGCTGCCCTTTGGCCTGCGCTCCGCCTGGAAGAGGGAGTTGAGCGCACCAAGCCTCCTGCTCGTGATAGGCCCGATGTCGTGCCCCACCGTTGGATTTTTACTTCGAAATTCTGGCGTTGTGAAGGGTGTTTGAAGGTCAGTCGGTCTCGTGACAAACCTGCCGGGGGGAACTGTCGAGGTCTCCATAAGCTTGACCCCCAGGTCCTCTCGAGGCTCCAGCACAGGTGCGTTTCACTTGAGTGCTCTGACGGGGCGACCCTGGTCGTGTGTCTGAAATGCAAGGCCTACTCAGGCCATGGCCAGGTGAGAAGCCTCGCCAAAGAATGCAACAAGGCCCCCCGAAGTGCGGGAGCTTCAGCTGCCTGGACGGCGATTTCGTCAGGTCACCATCCGAAGTTTCCCGGCGTGACCGTCCAGAGGGGCCCCTGGTCACAATGATCGGGGCTAGGCGGTCAGCCTTCGGGGCCGTCTTGTTCATTTGATGTGGAAGGCATCTGCAGTTGAGGAAAAGCTCCTCCTCCTCCTCCTCCTCCTCTCCTCCTCCTCCTCCTCCTCCTCCTCCTCCTCCTCCTGACCCTCCTCCTCCTCCTCCTCCTCCTTCCTCCTCCTCGTATTTCCTTCTCCCCCTCCTCCTCCTCCCCCTCCTTCTCCTCTCCCTCGTCCTCTTCCTTCTCGTCCTCTTCCTCCTCCTCCTTTTCCCCCTTCTCCTCAGTGGATAACCGAACCACAGTGGAGACCCATGCCAAGAAGCACCCTGCTTGCCTCCAGGGTGCCCTGGGTTTCTTGGGTTTCGATGGTTTTGCCATGGAAAGCGTTACGTTCCTTCACCAAAAATCGATGGACGTCCTGGGATCTCGGGGTTCGGTTTCTTGTGTAAGGTTTCTTGTGGTCGGGCCCCCACTGTATACAAACTGTATAAGCATACACACACACACACTTCCGGAGGGCCGCGAGAATTTCGTCATTTTGGAGCCGGGCCGCCTAGCGCCGCCCCTGGAGCGCTCCGCTTGCCAAGGAGGGGGATCGGAGCCGATCCAAGAAGTCCGTGCGGTCACCTTCGGAAGGTCACGTGTGTGCAGCTGGTCTTGCTCTGTGAGCGGAGAGGGAAGCTCAAGACCCAGGAGCGGATTTTTCTACCTGCCTCCACGCTGGCCCCTCGTGGGATTTTTTGGGCGCGAACAGGGGTATGTCGAAGGTTGGGGGTCAGTCCGACGTGAAACGGAGACCCCCCCCCTACCTGCAAATCGATTTCGGTTTCGGGTTCGTGCCGTGCGTGCGTGCGGGCGAGGCGAAGCTGCGTGGGCGGGCGAAGGGAAATCCTTCTTTGGCTGGGCCGCGGCCGGACCAAATGTTGCTCCCCCAGCGGCCGGTGTCGCGCGGTGTCCCGCCGGTGTCCCGCGGGTGTCCCGACATCATCCTGTGGCTGGGCCGCGGCCGGACCAAATGTTGCTCCTCCGGCGGCCGGTGCCGCGCGGTGTCCCGCCGGTGTCCCGCTGGTGTCCCGCCGGTGTCCCGCCGGTGTCCCGTGGTGTCCCGTGGTATCCCGTTGAGTGAGATCGATAGTGATAGCGATAGTGAGATCGATGTGGTGTCCTGAGGTGTCCCGTGATGTCCCGTGGTGTCCTATGGTGTCCCGTTGCGTGAGATCGATAGTGAGACCGATAGTGAGATCGAGAGATGTCCCGCGGTGTCCCGTGGTGTCCCGTGGTGGCCCGTGGTGTCCCGTGGTGTCTCGTTGAGTGAGATCGATAGTGAGATTGATAGTGAGATCGACAAATGTCCCATGGTGTCCCGTGGTGTCCCGTGGTGTCCCGTTGAGTGAGATCGATAGTGAGATCGATTGAGTCAGATGTTGGTTCCCCCCTTGTCCCCCCCACCACCTCCTTATCACCCGAAGGTTTGCCGTATAGGTATAAGTTGTCGATCGGCTGCAGGCTTTGCTCTTTTGGGGCATCCTGAGGTGGCCCTGGTCGCCACGATTGGTTTCGACCCACAGCATTCCGCCCCACCCTCCCCTCCACCTCCATCCATTGCCTTATGATGTTCCAACCTACTTTAGCCTTGATCGCCATAACGAATTTCAAGCACCAAGAAAACACCCCAAACATCGAGGGTTTTCACGTGCCGGGCCCTGGGAGACACTCTTTCGACACTCTTTCGACACTTTTCTCGGTGCTCGAAATTATATCTGGGATGTGGTCCTTAAGTAGGATGGGAGCAACATAACCCTCGTCCTCAGACGAATAACTCGTTCCGCGGTGTCAGAGACCAAGGCCCACGTCGCGAAGGCAAACACATCCCATGTATACCCCGTCGACGACGAGACCGCCTTGTGTTGCCATCTTCTCGCTCCCTTGAATCGGAGGTCGTGGGGTGAGATCGAAGTGAAACGGAGACCCCCCTTACCAGGAAGTCGGTTTCGGTATCGTGATCGTGCCGCGCGTGCGTGCGAGGCCAAGCTGCGTGGGCGGGCGAGGGGAATTAATCCTTCTCTGGATAGAGCGCCGCCAGGCCAAGAGACCGCCCCCCTGGTTGCCCAGCGGCGAACGGGGGTGTCCCGCCGTGGTGTCCCTATGATGTCCTGTGGTGTCCCGTGGTGTCCTCTGGTGTCCCGATAGTGTCTCGGCTGTGTTCCAATGGTGCCTTGGTGGTGCCCCGTCGGTGTCCCGTCGGTGTCCCGATGGTGTCCCCACGGTTTCCTGGTGGTGTCCCGGGTGGTGTCCCGATGGTGTCCCGACGGTGTCCCGATTATGTCCCGCTGATGTCCCGATGGTGTCCCGATGGTGTCCAGATGGTGTCCTGGTGGAGTCCCGATTGGTGTCCCGATTGGTGTCCCGATTGGTGTCCCGACGGTGTCCCAGTGGTGTCTCGCGGGCGCATCACCAGCATCGCCAGCACAATCATCGCGGTTGTCATCAGTATAGATAATTATCGGAGGCGGGGGGGGGGTGAGATCGAAGTCGAACGGAGAGCCCCCCATGGGGAAATTGGCTTCGGTTTCGAGACCCGTGCGCGCGGGCGAGGCGGAGCTGCGCGGGCGGGTGAGAGGAATGACCCCGCTGAGGCCAGGGCGAATCAAGAAAAGACCACCCCTCTGGTGGGCCGTGCTGTCCCGCCGGGTGCGTCCCGCCGTGCTGTCCCGCCGTGGTGTCTTGTCGGTGGCCCGTCGGCCTTCACGGGCAGTGGCCCAGGGTGTCCCGCCGTGAAGTCCCGATGGTGTCCCGTCGGCGTCCCGTCGGTGTCCCGTCGGTGTCCCGCCGGTGTCCCGTCGGCGTCCCGTCGGTGTCCCGTCGGTGTCCCGTCGGCGTCCCGTCGGCGTCCCTGTGCAATCATCGCCACTGTCCTCAGTCGGTTTTCCCCCCCGTAACCTCCTGGGGATTCTTCAGGTCATCTTGGGCGGGAAATTCAACCAGATTGGGCCAGGATATGCTCATGCGACACACCCACAGAACGCCTGGGAGCTTCAGCAGGACTGGGGCGCGGGCCTCAAGTATCCTACAATCTTTCGGACGTCCGCAACTATCGGAGGTTGGGGTGTGAGATCGAAGTGGAACGGAGAGCCCCCCTACCAGGAAATCGATTTCGGTTTCGTGTTCGTACCGTGCGTGCGGGCGATGCGAAGCTGCGTGGACGGGGGAGAGGAAATTCTCCTGTGGCTGGGCCGCGGCTGGACCAAAAGGTTCTCCGCCCGGCAACCTGTGGCGCGCGGTGTCCCGCTGGTGTCCCGCTAGTGTCCCGCTGGTGTCCCGCCGGTGTCCCGTGGCTGGGCCGCGGCCGGACCAAAAGGTTCTCCGCCCGGCAATTGGTGGCGCGCGGTGTCCCGCCGGTGTCCCGCTGGTGTCCCGCTGGTGTCCCGCCGGTGTCCCGTCGTTGTCCCGTGGTGTCCCGTGGTGAGATCGACGGTGAGATCTATAGTGAGAGATCGATAGTGAGATCGATCGTGGTTTCGATAGTGAGATCGATCAAGTGGGATCGATAGCGAGATCGATTTGTGGAATGGATAGTGATATGAATAGTGAGATCGAAAGCGAGATCGATAGTGAGATCGATAGCGAGATCGATAGCAGGATCGATAGCAGGATGGATAGTGAGATCGACGGTGAGATCGATTGTGCCCCGTCAGTGCCCCATCGGTGTCCCGTCGGTGTCCCGTGGTTTCACGTGCTGAGATCGCCAGTGATATCGTTAATGAGATCGACAGTTAGATCGATGAGACCGATAGTGAGATCGATAGGATGATCGATACTGAGATCGACTGTCATATCAACAGTGTCGATATTGAGGCTCTTAACACCAAGGCTCTTAACACCAAGGCTCTCAAGAATGAAGGCGGCAACGCAACGATCTCCACTGGCATCGTCAGAACAACAATCACCACTGTTGCCCATTGCTGGCCCCCTTCCCCCCCAAACCTCCTTATCACCCGCAGGGTGGTCGTATAGGTAGAAGCCTTGGGACACTCCGCTACGTGCGCAAGGCACGGTGGTGGATAAGTAGGGCGGTCGAACATTGACGACGACGGCGGCGACGACGACTCCAGAGGTCCCCAGAGGACTCCAGAGGTCCCCGGAGGCCACCCGAGGTGCCGCAGGCCTTCTGAGGTTCCTGGGCGCCCAGAACCAGCCAAATGCGCCCAACAGCATTGCGCTCTGCTGAGCGATGGTCATCGGCGATGAGCGAGGGGGGGAAGTGAGAAGGGGCGGCCTTCTCAGAAGGCTCGGAAGTCCCCTGGCCTTCTGAGAAGTTTCTTAAGCCATCCCCGAAGACACAGAAACCTTCTCAGAAGGCGTGAGGGCTTCTGAGAAGTCCCGCCGCTTTCTGAAAAGGCCTTCTCCTTCTCAGTTCCCCCCCTCGCTCGTCGCCCAGGTCAATCCTCGAACTATCCTCGGCAATCGAGGATCGCTCCTCGATCACCGATCTTCGATGTTGGCACAAGCTCGAAGATCGATGGCTCGATCCTCGAGCTTCGCTCGAGTCGAGGGCAACGAAGGCACCTCCTTGGCCGGGGAGGAGACAGGAGGAGGAGGACAGGAGGAGGACGAGGACAGGAGAGGACGAGGAGGAGAGGAGGAGGAGGAGGAGGAGGAGGAGGAGGAGGAGGAGGAGGAGGAGGAGGAGGAGGGGTCGGGGCTCAAGAGTCGGGGGTCAATGCAAACAGGGGACAGCCAGAGCGCCGGATCTGGGAGGATCAGGCAGGGCCAGGGGTGCACGGACCCGGGCTTCTGGTGCAGGCAGGACCCTGAAAGGCCCGACTGACCCAGGTTTGGATTGACCAGGGCCAGTACAGTGCCGTTATTAATACATGCTCCGCGTGCGGACCATGTATTGAAAATCAAGGGTTGATCAATGGATACAAGGATGAGTTTATGCATTAATTTATTCATACATTAAGCATGTATTAAAAATCCTATGTTTGTTTAGAAATCTTATGTATTAAAAAATTGACCTGTAGGTCCCCGAGGGAGGGAGGGTCGGGGAGGCGATGGAGTTCGTGGCCGACAGGCTTCGGCAGGACGGCGGCTTCCTGGAGGCCGCGCCGCGCAGCAGCAGCGGCGCGGCGGCGGTCACGGCGGCGGCAACGACCAGGGCGAGGGCGACGAGGACCCAGACCCCCAACTTCTTGAAATGATTTGGGACGTACCCATCCCTTCTCCACGCGAGTCGACTGTTCGTATGGACGTTCCATACAACAGCAGACTTTGTTGCGAGATGTGCAGCACCCCGGAATGTTTCGCCGAACCATGTCGGGCCACGTGCGTCGCACATCTGCACAACTCAGATCGCAAAAGGGACGGCGACGACAAGCAAAAGAAATGACATTGAACGGGGAACAGAAGCGGAGGACGGAAAGGAGGAAGAGGGAGGAGGAGGACAAGGAGGATGGGGAAGGAAGGAGAGGAAATACGGGTGAGAGTAGCAGCGCCATGCGATCATCTGCGATCATCTGCTCTGCTGCGGGCGACAGGCACCTCAGGAGGGGGGGAAGCGGGCCACTGAGGACGGCGCCATGTGCTACATGACGCTCCCGCGCTCGGGGCTCGTGATGCAGCAGCGCCGCGCGCTGAATGACTGGACGGTGGCACGCGCCGTATGGGCGCGTGCCCTTTCATGTTCGGTTGGTTGTCGTTTCAAGCCTCGCCGAAGAGGCCGTGAGAGTAGCGCCGCAGGGTCTCGAACGGATCTGCGTGACCACCCACTCCGCTGGACCTCCCAGGATCCCACGAAAGCGGCAACGGCTGCACAGTTTCCAGCCCCCACCCAGGGAGCCACGAGGATCGATGGTACAGGCTTTGAGAGGGGGAGGATCGAGGATCGAGGATGGCGGATCGAGGATCGAGCTGCTCGCCAGGGAGGGGGGGAGGATCGAGGATCGAGGATTGAGGATTGGTGATCGAGGATCGAGGATCGAGGATTGAGGATCCATTCTGCTGCACCTCCCAGGGAGCCTACGACAGTGGCGCAGCTGAGCAGGTCCCACCCCCAACGGAGCTGCGAGGTCCCAAACCGGCCCTTCTGACGACACACTCCGCTGGACCTCCCAGGAACGCACGAGGAGGAGGAGGAGGAGGAGGAGGAGGAGGAGGAGGAGGAGGAGGAGGAGCGAAGGTTGCACAGATTGCCGCCCCGCCCCGCCCCCCCCCCCACCCCCACACACCCCAGCGACAGCGAGGTTCGAGGCGTCGAACGGGTCCTTATGACGACCCGCCCCGCTGGACCTCCCAGGTGCCCACGAAAGTGGCGACAGGTGCGCCGTTCGCAGCCGCCCAGGAACCGCGAGGTTCCAAACGGGCCCGCCTGAATACATTCCGTCGGACCTCCCAGGATCGCACGAAAGTAGCGACATCTGCGCAGTCCACAGCCCCACAGGGAGCCGCGAGGTCCCGTCTGGATGATGCGCGTACTCCGCGACGCCGCCGTGCCTCCCAGGAACGACAGTTGCGCAGTTCGCAGCCACCCAGGGGGCCGCGAGGTCTGAGCTGGATTCGCGTACTTCCCTACTCCGCCGTATCTCCCAGGAGCTTGCGAAGAAGTAGGAGGGAGAAGGAGGTGCGCGGCAGGAGGGAGGAAACAGGAGGCAGATGGTAGGAGCTAGGAGGCATGATGCATGAAGAGGGGGGTGGGAGGAGTCGCGACCGCAGTGCTCTCTCTATTCAAAGCGGGAACCCAACGCAGGAGGGTTGGGAACAAAAACTCCGGATGGAAATGCGACCCCCAGAAAATAGACCAGAATCCCAGGGGCCCGTGTTGCATGTCCCGAGACGTATCCAAACCCTTCTCCGCGAGCGGCGAAAATTGGCGAAGATGTGCGTGAGCACACCATACAAAACAACACATCGCCAGATATGCACGATCTGCGCTGCCATCATTTCCACCGTGCCCCCCACGAGCCTACCAACAAGGCGACAATTGCGCTCAATGTAGCCCCCCGGGGAGCCGCGAGGTCTCGGCTGGATCCGCGTTGTCCGCTACTCCGTCGTGCCTTCCAGGAGCCAACGAAAGTGGCGGCAGTTGCGCAATTCGCAGCCCCCCAGTGAGCTGCGAGGTCCCGCCTGGATGCGCGTACTCCGCGAGTCCGCCGTGCCACCCAGGAGCCCACGAAAGTGGCGACGGTTGCACATTTCGCAGTCCCCCAGGGAGTTGCGAGGTCCCGGCTCCATCCGCGTGCTCCGCGACTCCGCCGTGCTTCCCAGGAGCCCACGAGAGTGGCGACACGTGCGCAGTTCGCAGTCCCCCTGGGAGCTGCGAGGTCCCAGCTAGATGCGCGTACTCCGCAACTCCGCTGTGCCCCGCAGGAGCCCACGAAAGTGGCGAAAGTTGCGCAGTTCGCAGCCAACCAGGGCGTTGGGAGGTCCCGTCTGGATGCGCGTACTCCGCGACTCCGCCGTGCCTCCCAGGAGACCGCGAAATTGGAGAACGGCTGCGCAGTTCGCAGCCACCCAGGGAGCTGCGAGGTCTCGGCTGCGAGGTCGGTCCCGCCTGGATCCTCGTACTCCACGAGTCCGCCGTGCCTCCATGGAGCCAGCGAAAGTGGCGACTGTTGCGCAGTTCGCAGCCCCCCAGTGAGCTGCGAGGTCCCGTCTGGATCTGCGTACTCCGCGACTCCGCCGTGCCCCCCAGGAGCCCACGAAAGGGGCTCCAGACGCGCAGTTCGCAGCCACCGAGGGAGCTGCGAGGTCCCGCTTGGATGCGCGTACTCCGCGAGTCCGCCGTGCCTCCCAGGAGCCAACGAGAGTGGCGACATGAGCGCAGTTCGCACTCCCCCTGGGAGCTTCGAGGTCCCAGCTGGATGCGCGTATTCCGCGACTCCGCTGTGCCCCGCAGGAGCCGACGAAAGTGGCGAAAGCTGCGCAGTTCGCGGCCCCCCAGTGAGCTGCGAGGTCCCGTCTGGATCCGCGTGCTCCGCGACTCCGCCGTGCCTCCCAGGGAGTTGCGAGATTCCGTCTGGAGGAGGAGGAGGAGGAGGAGGAGGAGGAGGAGGAGGAGGAGGAGGAGGAGGAGGAGGAGGAGGAGGAGGAGAGGGCGGAGGAGGAGGAGGAGGAGGAGAGAGGAGGAGGAGGAGGAGGAGGAGGAGGAGGAGGAAGGAGCCCATGACAGAGACGACAGTTTCGGAGTTCGCGGACAGCCAGGAAGATTCGAGGTCCCGTCTGCATGCGCGCACTCCGCAACTCTGCCGGTGCATCCCAGGAGCCCGCGAGATTGGCGACGGGCTGCGCAGTTCGCACCCGCCGAGGGAGCTGCGAGGTCCCGTCTGGATGCGCGTACTCCGCGACTCCGCCGCGCCCCCCTGAAACCCACGACAGTGGCGGCAGTTGCGCAGTTCGCAGCCGAGCAGGGCGTTGGGAGGTCCCGTCTGGACGCACTTCGCGACGCTGCCGTGCCTCCAAGGAGCCCACGAAAGTGGCGACGGTTGCGCAGTTCGCAGTCACCCAGGGGGCTGCGAGGTCTCGGCTACCCCGCGACTCCGCCGTGCCGCCCACTACGAAATCGGCGGCAGTCGCGCAATTCGCAGCCAACCAGGGAGCAGCGCAGGAGTAGGCAGGAAGGGGGGAGGAGAAGGAGGTGAAGGAGGAGAGGAGGTGGGGTCAAGAGTGCACTATTCAAAACGAGAGCCCAACGCGGGCGGTATGGGAAAAACATTGAAAACAACGAAAGTTTGGGAACGACGCCGAGGTTTCCAGGGTAAAAAACAGCAAAACGACAAAACATGGCGACGACGACGACGACGACGACGACGACGACGACGACGACGAAGGCGTTGACGAGGGGCGGGGTCCTCTGCAAGCTCGTCGATCGGCACGTTGCCCGTGTCCCCGCTGCTGCCCTCCGCCTTTGCACGCCAGAAAGGGGCAGGGACCGAAGAAGAAGAAGAAGACGGTCGAGCTCCGGAGGCCAGAGCTTTCCCTGTATGTGCCCCGGCTCTGGCTCCACTCGGCGGCGAGCGAGGGGGGAAGTGAGGATGATGGGCCTGTTTTCCACCACCACCACCACCACCACCACCACCACCATAAGTTGGAGGGGGAGGGGGTCCTCCTCCTCCTCCTCCTCCTCCTCCTCCTCCTCCTCCTCCTCCTCCTCCTCCTCCTCCTCCTCCTCCTCCTCCTTCCCCGCATCCAACATATGGTGGTGGTAGTGGCAGACAGGCCCAGCAGAGGAGGGGCGGGCCTTCTCAGAAGGCTCAGAAGCCCCCTGGCCCTCTGAGAAGTCTTCCGAGCCTGCCCCGAAGGCGCAGAAAGAAAGCAGATCTCGGAGGGCCGCCGCCCTTCTGAGGAGGCCTTCTCTTTCTCGCTTCCCCCCCTCGCTCGCCGCCGCCCCATGCCCCGACTCTGGCTGCACGACGGCGGCGAGCACGGCGACGGCGGCGTTGGCGGCGGCGGCGGCGGCAACCGCGGCGACGGCGGCAGCTTCCCCGGGGGAAGGCCGCGCAGCACCGGGGCGTGCTGATGCAGGCCACGGCGGGCTGCTGCACGCCCAGCTTCGAGGCGCCTTTGGGCGCCCCCCCTCGGCGCAGACGGCGGTGGCGACGCCGACGAGGCCGACGACAGCGGCGGCGGCAGCGCCGACAGGGACCACGACTAGGATGGCGACGACGACGCCGCCGCCGACGACGACGACGACGACGACGGCGATGAAGAAGGCGACGAAGACGACGGTGGCGACCACGACGACGACGACGACGACGACGACGACGACGACGACGACGACGCAGGGGATATACTCCTCCTCGTTCTTCCCATCGTCGTCGTCCTTCTCCGCCTTCTCCCTTCTGTTTCTCCTCCTCTTTCCTTTTCCCTCCCCCCTTTCGTTCTCCTTCCTTCTCCTCCTCCATCCCTCTTTCCGAAAATCCATTCTCCGTGTCGTGCCACAAGACGTGGCGCCAGGGCGGACCGAGCGCTTCGCCTGAGACTGTCCCACCCCTGTTGAACCTGTAGCCTCCTTTCCAACAGCTGCAGGGATGGAGGATCGACGGCTCTCGCACCAGCGCCGCGGGCACTCGTCCCGAAGTATACAGCCGCCTCACGGATGGAGAGGGGTGTTTTTCAACATGCGGCTCTCGCCGTAGCGTCGCGCCAGCAGCTACGAGGATGGAGGGCGGATCGTTTTCAAAATGTTGTCCACGTGTGCCTCACCTGTTCGCGCCGTTCCAGACCCTCTCAATAATGTCCAACAGCTGCGCGAATTGAGAGCGGCTCCTTTTCCAAAACCGGGCCTTCGCTTGAGATCTCCCCAAAACGTTAGACCAGAAACGCAAGCATGAGCAACTGTCACACGGATGGAGGCAGGATCCTGTTCAGAATGGTGTTCTCACGTGGGACATCCCTCGCCCACTACGGACACACGTGCTAGAGCCGCGCAGGAGTTGCACGGATGTGCGGCAGCTCCTCTTCAACGAGGGCTCTCGTTGGACAGGTTTCTGAGTCGTGGGATCCTGCCTCTTCGCACGCAGGGACCTTGGGAGGAGGAGGAGGAGGAGAAGGAGGAGGACGAGGAGGAGGGTGGGAATGGGTAGGTGGGATGAGGAGGACGAGAAGGAGCAGGGGGAGGAGGAGGAGGACGAGGAGGAGTAGGGGTAGAAGGAGTAGGGGACCTTGGGAGGAGGACGACGAGAAGGAGTAGGGGGAGGGTGGGAAGGGGGAAGGTGAGAGGAAGGTCAGGATGCAGGGCAGCTCCGCTCGAGCAGGGACCGCTTGGTCGTTCTCGCCTCTCGAGGGGGAAAGACCGTCCCATGGGGAAACAAAAAGGCGCGCGCTGGCGGCGACGGGAGGGGGCCCTTTGGGGGCGGTGGGGTGCGCTGCAGCATCGCGGCGCATAGGTGACCGACTACAGAACGGATGTGCCCCAACATAGTACGAATAGTACGTAGAATACCCAGTAGTACTACCAATAGCACGTAGAATCTACGAGTAGTACGAGTCTACGAATAGTACGTAGAATGCCCAGTAGATTTGCTGAACATGCTATAAAGTGTGCGCACATTCGGCGGAACAACACTGTCTGGGGTAAACCAATTCTGTAATCGATCCCCTCCTCGAATCGTTGGTGCGTCCTGGGCTTGCTCAGATCCCCCTCCTCTCGGAGGGATGAGAAGCGACACCAACACCACCAGGGTCGACACCAACACCACCAGCAGCGGCCACCCGAGCTGGAGGGCTGGGTATGCCTCGAGCGAGAAAGGGGATCACACCACCAGGGAGACCCCCCCCTGCTCCTCGCATCCCCTCGCCCTGGTGGTGCCGATGCCGCCTTTCCCCGTCCCTGCTCCTCCCGACCCCCCCCCTTGCTCCTCGCGCCTCCTGGCCACGGCGGTGCTGGTGCCGCCTTGCTCCTGCTCCTCCCGACCCCCCCCCCTTGCTCCTCGCATCGCCTCGCCACGGTGGTGTTGGTGCCGCCCCTCCTCGCTCCTGCCCCCCCCCCCTCCCCGGTCAAGCGGCTGGCCCCCTTGACCTGCCAGGGGGGCCCACCCTGGCCAGGACTCCGTGCCTTCCCTGTTCGTTCCTCCCACCCCCCCTCCCTCCCTTTCTCCTCCCTCTGCATCTTTCTCTCTCTCTCGCTCTCGCTCTCTCGCTCTCTCTCTCTCTCTCTTGCTTGCTCCCTCCCTCTCTCTCTCTCTCTCGCTGCCTCGCCCTTTCTCTCCTTTTCTCTCTCTGTCTCTCTCTCTCTCTATGTATATGTCTCTCTCTCTCTCTCTCTCTCTCCTCGACGCTCAAGAATCACAGCGGGCCAAACTTTCAGACCGAAGCTCGAAGTCGCAGCGGGCCCGCCGTTTCAGACCCAGGCTCCACCCGATCACAGCCGAGCAGGTTCTGCCGGGCCCGCAGCGCGAGCAACCGGGGAGCATGCGCAGAAGGAAGGGCCATCGATGTGTTTGCCCGTTGTTCCAGTTCCTCCGCTACTGCCGTTGCCAAGATGTGGGCACCTCAAGCCAGTTGAGCAGTTGTGGCTCCCCCACCTTGCCTGTGCTCCTGAGCGCGTCCCCTTTCGCTGCGGGGGCAGGGCGCCGCTCCCAGAGTGCTGATGCTCAGGATCTAGAAGCGCAGCACTGCGTTCTGTCGTCCGCGGCTCCGCGGCAGCCACCATCCTGGCGGGCGAGCCTGCATGCTTTCATTGCAGCCTGGGCCGCGATGCTGCGGGGAGGCGTTGATGCTGGCTGGGCGTCGCCAGGCGACGCGTCGCGAGCAGCGCCCGCAGGGCGCCCGCGAGACCGAGCGTGCGCCGACGAACCAGGGCCTTCGTCTCGGCCTGCGCCATTCAGGCGCGCCCGCGAGCGAGGAAGTGTTGAGGAGCTCGCCTTCCCAGATTCGCGCGGGTCCGATGGTCATGCCAGCACCCATAGAAAACGAAAGTATTCGCACATCTGGAGGCAGCCTTGTTTAGACAGACTTGCCCGTAGCTTCGGCGTGCACGAGCGTGTGTTTAGTATGTGCTCATTCGGCACCAGCTGACGTAAGGCTACCCGTTTTATGTTTCCCGGTGTTATCTTTGATTAGTTCGGGGACCGTTGTGACAAAAGCAGCGTGTACAAGCTTTCTGGCTGCCCTCACTATGCCCTGATGCTTGGGGAAAACAATTCCGAACGAGTAAGCCGAAGTCCATCGTCCCGCCTTCTGCACAGCACCCACGGAACACGATGGCAATTGTGTTAAACAACGAGTTGTTCTGTGGTGGCGGCACTCTGAGGTGCCAGCCGAGTTCTTGGTATTACCTGGAGTTGGAATTGTTTGGACAGGAGGGGCCCACCTTTGCTCTGCTTCTTCCGTTCTCGGGCCAGCGCAGGCCTCTTGCCAACAGCACGGGTCGTCCTGGTGCCCAGTGGCAGTGCGACCAATTTGTTTGTGTTCCTGAACGGTTTATGTTCAAATTCCTTGCTTTCGTGCTCCCTTGTATTCAACTCAGGCTGTCCCGTCACATGGCGCTTTCCACAGACAGATTCTGGAATTATTGTATGCCATTGTTTGGACAGGAGGGGCCCATCTCTGCTCTTGTTTCCCCGTGCTCTGGCCAGCGCGAGCCGCTTGCCAACAACACAAATCGATCTGGTGCCCAGCGGCAGTGAGGATTGGTTATATTCCTATTCCGCGCCGCTTCTCTGCAAACGTTGTCTCATCGTCCTGCTGTCCCTCCTCCTCCTCCTCCTCCTTCTCCTCTTTGTCTCTCGTCAGCATCCCTCTTTTGCATCATCCCCATCCTCTTCGATATTCCTTGTTCGTCGCCCCTTGCTCTTCTCATATGGCCCCTGGTATCCTCATCCGCCTCTTGCCTTCCCACCTCCTCCTCCTCTCCTTCCTCCTTTTCACTCTCGGGACCGAACGCCATCGTTCATTGTTCGGGATGATTTCGTTAGGCTTCTCGACCCTAGTATCATCCAAGGTGTTCCAACATTGGAAAACCAGTCGTGACGGGAGTGTCGACTTTCAAGTTTCGCGAGGGGAGTTGTCCCCTCCTCATCTATGCGCACGGCGGTCAAATGTCAGCAGATTGCAGATGCAGACTAGACCAGATGCTGAGTACCACCACCACCACCTCTTCCTTCTCAGCCCTTCTTCCTCAGACTTGTGCATGACTCCCCCTGTCGCACCCCAGACTTGTCAGCGTGCCGACCGGGCCATTTCGCTTGAGACGTGTTACCGCTTATGGCCTCAAGGTTAGAATACGTCTAACAGCTGCCAGGCTTTAAGGTCGGCGGATGGCTGAAAGCGTCTTCCAGGAACGGGAAGCGAGATGGACGTTCTGGTTTAACATGTAGTTTATGGATAGATCTCTAATGGTGAGAAGCGCCTTCGAGGACCGAGAAGCGAGCTGGGAGTCCTGGCTGAACCTGTAACATTTGGAAAAGGTAACATTCATCTGTCCCGAGGTCTACAGCAATTGGTTGAAAGTGGATTCCTGTTGAAAGCGGATTCCTAAGCGTGGTCATGTGGGTTGGCACGCACCAAAAGGTCACTCAAGGCGAAAGGTCACGCTTACGTGTGTTCGCGGGAGTCTTGCCATCCTGGGACGGCCGGCCCTCACTGGGAGCCGCAGGTATACACACATTAAAGTACGCGGGCCTTCGTCCGAAACACAGCGAAAAATATACGTATATTCCTCTCCCTATATTTGTATAAGCCCGGGCGGGGGGGAAACCCGTCCCCCCCAAAAAAAAACCGGACTCCCGGGATCTGGGGCTTTGGGACCTTCCAGACGGGCCTCGAAGCGACCACCGGGCCTCACATGGCGTTTTGCCAAGCCTTCCCAGCACACCTAGGGCGATCAGGGGGGTTATCGGAGACGTCCCAGAGACCCCCAAGACAGCACAAGAGCGCTCCAAGAGTGACCGACGTGACTTCAAGATGGCCCAAGAGGCCTCCAGGACGGCCCCAAAGAGGCCTCCAAGAGCACTCCCAAGAAGGCCCCCCGATGCAAAAATCATTTATTTGTTTGTAGGTTTTTGGTGAATTTTAGAGTTCTCCTCTTTTCGGCTTCCCGACGTTCCACGACGGCG